GACTGATAATATAACTTTCATTACTTGTTGAGCAGTATGATTCAGTTCATCAGCTGATTTCGATCCAAAACCTTTTAACATTTGATCTAATGTATTTTGTCTTGCGCCGGCTGCACACATGCTTATACAGAATCATTCATTTAGGAAGTTCAGGTAAAGTAGGGGGAGGAATAGTCCAAACCTCGACATAATCGGGAAAGAGATTTATATGTTTCGAATTTCCTGACGATCCTTTTATAGAAATTGAACATTTTTGCACTTTTCTTAATTTAAAGTACACTTATATCCACGCAATACAACAGATTTAATCTTTTGCACTTCTCTACTAGGTTTATCCTTCATCACACTGGACAAAAAAATGTAATTATCGAAATAAATTTTATATTGTAAGATACAAAAAAATTATTCGTAGCCTACAAAATGCATTTACGTTCTTTAGCTGATGGACATAATACAACATAAGTAGTAGATAGATATTCAATACAAATGTAGCCAACTACACAAACGATATCGTAGAATTTCGCCATCGGAATCGGAATATTCTTGTATTTTAGTAATTTGTGTGATTTTTTTATGTCACAGTTCAGTTGCTGTGAGATACAGAAACTCTATCTTTTTTTTGGTTGCTATGTGGGATCTATATTTGAAAAAGAGAAACGAAAAGTCTTATTTTGTCATTTTATTTTTATTTGTGAATTATTAGAAGAAGACTGCAGTTCACTGATTCTGTGTAGCATATTCATGCTGCTTGGCAAAATGTGATGTCGTCGAAATTCCACTTCTATAATCATATGAACTTCTTCCTTTCCAATTTCTTGAAATTCAAAAATGTATCATCACAAAAATGGATTTCGACAATTGTCAAAATTACAAGGACATAAGACAATAGTCGAAAAATAAACCTGAAAATTCGACAATGTCGAAAATCAGATGGACTTTCGACAATATGTCGAAAACATTAAGCAAAATGACAATACCGAAATTCCGATGGAGAAATCTCAGCTGTCAATATTCCGTTTTACCACACAAATGATCTAGATGAAACTTACAGGAAATGGTGATCGTGTTCGAGACTAGTTACAAAAATCATTTTAGGGTTTTGTCTATTAACGTTTAGGAAACGTCGCTATATTAGTAGTCAAAGTGAGACGTTTAAGGTTTACCAGATTTCGCTCCACTTGTGATAACTACTAAATCCCATGGAGTTTTTGTTCTTGGTCCTTCTTTGTCGCAAATATATTGCATGCATACGTAGATCAATATATGCAATACGGTGGAAACGCATTTGTTCACGTGCAAATATCTCAGCGAGTTCAGATCATGTTTCATGTCCTCATTTATACGCTCTTCTGCCCCTATGACTTGGTTTTCAGATTTTAAATATATATTTGTAAGATAGATATTTGATAAATCATTAACATATAAGTGTGAACTTTCCAGTTGTTGAAAGATTCATGACAAATTGACTGTATAAACCAGCGAACCAAAAACACTGTCCTGTGAACCTCCTCTTTCAATAGTGATTTCGTCTGATTGTTTTAAATTGTAATCCATCACCACTTTTCTGTTTGCGAAGTAATTAATAATTCAAAAGATAAAAACAAATTCTCCTTCTGGAAAAACCAAAGAAACAGTTTTTCCCGAAGGGCATGTTGAGGTGGGTAAAGAATGTCCAGAACCGGACAAATTTGAACACGGGATAATATGTGGATTCCAAAAGGCCACTTTATTTAGATATCATAAGTAGATGGTCTCTAGCCAGTGCGATACTCACCGGTGAAATAAATGTATTATCATTTGTCCCGT